AAGGACAGAACCCACACTGTAGAACAGAGAGAGAACATACTGCAAGGACAGAACACCACACTGTAGAACAGAGAGAGAACATACTGCAAGGACAGGACACCACACTGTACAACAGAGAAGAGAACATACTAGCTAAATATCTTTATAATGTAATTACAGGTAGCCCTTTTCTTTTATTCCTGGCTTTATCTAAATATTCCCGCAAACACAATGGACAAACACAATGGACCAAAAAAACATTTTAGTTTCTCCTCATGGCTCAGCCACATAATGCCAGGATATTAGTGCTTTTAGCTTTTGTGTTTGTTTGCTGTAATGTGTAATACAGCAAAGATAGTATGGGACCAGGCACAGATGATAGCAGTGCACTACAGTACATAGGGAACAGGGGACCAGGCACAGATGATAGCAGTGCACTACAGTACATAGAGAACAGGGTACTACTACAGATGATAGCAGTGCACTACAGTACATAGGGAACAGGGTACCATCACAGATGATAGCAGTGCACTACAGTACATAGGGAACAGGGTACCATCACAGATGATAGCAGTGCACTACATTACATAGGGGACAGGTACCATCACAGATGATAGCAGTGCACTACATTACATAGGGAAACAGGTACCCAGCACAGATGATAGCAAGTGCACTACAGTACATAGGGAACAGGGGTACCATCCCAGATGATAGCAGTGCACTACAGTACATAGGGAAACAGGTACCATCACAGATGATAGCAGTGCCACTACAGTACATAGGGAACAGGGGTACCATCACAGATGATAGCAGTGCAACTACAGTACATAGGGACAGGGTACCATCACAGACTATAGCAGTGGCACTACAGTACATAGGGAACAGGGTACCATTACAGACGATAGCAGTGCACTACAGTACATAGGAACAGGGGTGCCATCACAGATTATAGCAGTGCACTACAGTACATAGGAACAGGGTACCACTACAGATGATAGCAGTGCACTACAGTACATAGGGAACAGGGTACCATCACAGATGATAGCAGTGCACTACAGTACATAGGGAACAGGGGTAGCCATCAGCAAGATGATAGCAGTGCACTACAGTACATAGGGACAGGGTACCATCACAGATGATAGCAGGCACTACAGTACAAGGAACAGGTACATCACAGAGAAGCAGTGACACTCACAGTACATAGGAACAGAGGACATACTAGTATAACATGCACTACATTATAATGATACAGGGTACCTCATCAATTTTATTCATGCCTACAGTACATAGGAAAAGGGTCTCACCAGTGATAGAGCACTACAGTACATAGGAACAAGGGTACCACACAGATGAAGCAGTGCATCAGTACATGAACATGGCTACCACACAACGATAGCATGCACAGGACATAGGCAGCTTGGGAGTGTGTACATTACAGACGATAGCAGGCACACAGTATATGGGAACAGGTCCATCACGATGATAGCAGTGCACTACAGTACATAGGGAACAGGGTGACCAGGCACAGATGATAGCAGTGCACTACAGTACATAGGGAACAGGGTACCATCACAGATGATAGCAGTGCACTACAGTACATAGAGAACAGGGTACCATACATATGATAGCAGTGCACTACAGTACATAGGGAACAGGGTACCATTACAGACGATAGCAGTGCACTACAGTACATAGGGAACAGGGTACCATTACAGACGATAGCAGTGCACTACAGTACACAGGGAACAGGGTACCATTACAGACGATAGCAGTGCACTACAGTACATAGGGAACAGGGTACCATTACAGACGATAGCAGTGCACTACAGTACATAGGGAACAGGGTACCATCACAGATGATAGCAGTGCACTACAAGTACATAGGGAACAGGGTACCATTACAGATGATAGCAGTGCACTAACAGTACATAGGGAATAGGGGGTACCATCACAGATGATAGCAGTGCACTACCGTACATAGGGAACAGGGTACCATCACAGATGATAGCAGTGCACTACAGTACATAGAGAACAGGGTACCATCACAGATGATAGCAGTGCACTACAGTATATATAGAACAGGGTGCCATCACAGATGATAGCAGTGAACTACAGTACATAGGGAACAGGGTACCATCACAGATGATAGCAGTGCACTACAGTACATATAGAACAGGGTGCCATCACAGATGATAGCAGTGCACTACAGTACATAGAGAACAGGGTGCCATCACAGATGATAGCAGTGCACTACAGTACATAGAGAACAGGGTGCCATCACAGATGATAGCAGTGCACTACAGTACATAGAGAACAGGGTGCCATCAGAGATGATAGCAGTGCACTACAGTACATAGGGAACAGGGTGCCATCACAGATGATAGCAGTGCACTACAGTACATAGAGAACAGGGTACCATCACAGATGATAGCAGTGCACTACAGTACATATATAACAGGGTGCTATCACAGATGATAGCAGTGCACTACAGTACATAGAGAACAGGGTGCCATCACAGATGATAGCAGTGCACTACAGTACATAGAGAACAGGGTGCCATCACAGATGATAGCAGTGCACTACAGTACATAGAGAACAGGGTACCATTACAGATGATAGCAGTGCACTACAGTACATAGGGAACAGGGTGCCATCACAGATGATAGCAGTGCACTACAGTACATAGGGAACAGGGTACCATCACAGATGATAGCAGTGCACTACAGTACATAGGGAACAGGGTACCATCACAGATGATAGCAGTGCACTACAGTACATAGGGAATAGGGTACCATCACAGATGATAGCAGTGCACTACAGTACATAGGGAACAGGGTGCCATCACAGATGATAGCAGTGCACTACAGTACATAGAGAACAGGGTACCATCACAGATGATAGCAGTGCACTACAGTACATAGAGAACAGGGTACCATCACAGTCTGGTAGAGCATCTCTTACCTTGACTTCTTTGTTGCTGGTCTTGGTGGGTTTACAGAGCACCTGGTAGAAGTCAACCACTCCCTCCTCGCTCCAGAGCAGAGTCACAGAGGAGTGGGTGGCGTTCACGGCGTACAGGGACCGAGGAGGGGCTGGCTCTGTCACAAACACAACAGGAGAAACGCCTGGGTCAACCTCTGGTCCACAGACACAGGTTGACTGGAGCCCTGCAGTCTGCCCTGACTCTTGTCTACTGTTAGACTGAACTACTGAGGCATGCAGAAACGAAGGCAGGCTGTGTCACAATACTAGGTTCACTTCCTCCATTTTCTCAGAAGAGCTGATAGTGACAGTTTGGCTCCATTTGGTATAAACAACAAGTGATGACGTGCTGAAAGCTGGATTGGGTTACCCAGGCTCCTTAACCAATCCCCTTCTCTGGCTACCAACATCCCTCTTTAATATTTGGGTTACCCAGGCTCCTTAACCAATCCTCTTCTCTGGCTACCAACATCCCTCTTTAATATTTGGGTTACCCAGGCTCCTTAACCAATCCTCTTCTCTGGCTACCAACATCCCTCTTTAATATTTGGGTTACCCAGGCTCCTTAACCAATCCTCTTCTCTGGCTACCAACATCCCTCTTTTAATATTTGGGTTACCCAGCTCCTAACCAATCCTCTTCTCTGGCTAACCAACATCCCTCTTTAATATTTGGGTTACCCATGCTCCTTAAACCAATCCTCTTCTCTGGCTACCAAACATCCCTCTTTAATATTTGGGTTACCCAGGCTCCTTAACCAATCCTTCTTCTCTGGCTACCAACATCCCATCTTTAATATTTGGGTTACCCAGGCTCCTCAACCAATCCTCTTCTCTGGCTACCAACATCCCTCTTTAATATCATTCTGTTTATCTGCAACCTTTTTGTTGCTGCTTTGAGACGAGATGTGTTGGGACGCATCCCAGAGACCCCTGGTGTGTGTGAGTCGTGATCGCGCATGTGTGTATGTGTATATGAGCATGTGTTGTGTGTGTGTGAGTGAGTGAGCGTGTGTGTGTGTGTGGGTGTTGTGTGGTGGGCGTACCCCAGTTTATGATGTTGGGGACAGAGGAGTAGGTGCGTTGCGTACCCCCGGTTGTAACGTGCATGTTGTTAATCCTGAGGAGGTGCGGTGCGTACCCAGTTTTAATGATGTTGGGGACCGAGGAGGTGCGGGTCGTACCCAGTTTAATGATGTGGACGAGGAGGTGCGTGCTACCGTTTAATGATTTGGACGAGGGGTGCTGCGTACCCTTATGATTGGACAGGGGGGCGTGCTACCCATTTTAATGATTTGGGGAGACAAGGAATTGCGGTGCTGGTAAAACCCATTTTAATGATGTTGGGGACAGAGGAGTGCGGTCGTAACCCATTTAATGTGTTGGGGACCAAGATTCTGTGCGTACCCATGTTTAAGATTTGGTGGACAGAGGAGGTGTGTTGGCGATCCCATGGTTGTATGATGTTGGGGACATGATGGAAGAATTGCGGTGCGTACGCCAGTTTATGTGTGTGGTGGACAGAGGAGTTGCGGTGCGTACCAGTTTAGATGATGTGTGGGGACAGAGGAGGGTGCGTGTGGTACCAGTTGTAATGATGTTGGGGGAGCTGGGGAGAGGTGTGCGTGTGCGTACCCAGTTTAATGATGTTGGGGACAGAGGAGGTGCGGTGCGTACCCAGTTTAATGATGTTGGGGACAGAGGAGGTGCGGTGCGTACCCAGTTTAATGATGTTGGGGACAGAGGAGGTGCGGTGCGTACCCAGTTTAATGATGTTGGGGACAGAGGAGGTGCGGTGCGTACCCAGTTTAATGATGTTGGGGACAGAGGAGGTGCGGTGCGTACCCAGTTTAATGATGTTGGGGACAGAGGAGTTGCGTTGGCCTTCAGTACAGGCTGATACAGTCAGGTTATAAATGTCTCCTGGAGGCAGGGTCAGACTGGCACCCATCCCATTACGGGGGACCTGCAGGGAGCACAGAGGGAAAACACACACTGTTAGGACAACACTGCACACACCCATCCCATTACGGGGGACCTGCAGAGGGCACAGAGGGAAAACACACACTGTTAGGACAACACTGCACACACCCATCCCATTACGGGGGACCTGCAGAGGGCACAGAGGGAAAACACACACTGTTAGGACAACACTGCACACACCCATCCCATTACGGGGGACCTGCAGGGGGCACAGAGGGAAAACACACACTGTTAGGACAACACTGCACACACCCATCCCATTACGGGGGACCTGCAGAGGGCACAGAGGGAAAACACACACTGTTAGGACAACACTGCACACACCCATCCCATTACGGGGGACCTGCAGGGGGCACAGAGGGAAAACACACACTGTTAGGACAACACTGCACACACCCATCCCATTACGGGGGACCTGCAGAGAGCACAGAGGGAAAACACACACTGTTAGGACAACACTGCACACACCCATATGACAAGATCACAAGGTTTGGCACGGGTCCTCACATCCTCTAAACGTTCTACAGCTGCACCATCAAGAGCATCCTGACTGGCTGCATCACCGCTTGGTACGGCAACTGCTCGGCGTCCGACCGTAAGGCGCTACAAGAGTATTGGGTACAGGCCAGCACATCACTGGGGCCGAGCTCCCTGCCTTCCAGGACCTCAATACCAGGCGGTGTCAGAGGAAGGCCCAAAAAATTGTAAAAGACTCCAACCACCCAAGTCATAGACTGTTCTTTCTGCTACCGCATGGCAAGTGGTACCGATGCACCAAGTCTGGAACCAACTGGACCCTGAACAGCTTCCACCCCCAAGCCATAAGACTGCTAAATAGTTAGTTAAATATTAAACCAAATAGCTACCCGGACTATCTGCACTGACCCTTTTAGCACTACCTCATTTGACTCATCACATACGTTGCTGCTATTTATTATCTATCCTGTTGCCTAGGCACTTTACCCCTACCTATATGTACATATCTACCTCAATAACCTCGTACCCCTGCACATTGACTCGGTACTGGTACCCCGTGTATATGGCCAAGTTATCGTTGTTCATTGTGTATTTATTCCTCATTATTTATCCATATTTTTCTCTGCATTGTTGGGAAGGGCCCGTAAACGTTTCACTGTTAGTCTACACCTGTTGTTTACGAAGCATGTGACAAATAATATTTGATTATATTTTTTGATTGGAGGTGCTGGAGATCGAAGAATATGTTTAAAGTAAATGAAGACTCACCATTTCATCAATCATCATCCCAGAAGTTAACCCTGGTCTGGAGTATCATTAACCCTGGTCGGGAGTATCATTAACCCTGGTCGGGAGTATCATTAACCCTGGTCGGGAGTATCATTAACCCTGGTCTGGAGTATCATTAACCCTGGTCGGAGTATCATTAACCCTGGTCTGGAGTATCATTAACCCTGGTCTGAAGTATCATTAACCCTGGTCTGGAGTATCATTAACCTTGGTCTGGAGTATCATTAACCCTGGTCGGGAGTATCATAACCCTGGTTGGGAGTATCATTAACCCTGGTCTGGAGTATCATTAACCCTGGTCTGGAGTATCATTAACCCTGGTCTGGAGTATCATTAACCCTGGTCTGGAGTATCATTAACCCTGGTCGGGAGGGATATTTAACCCTGGTCTGGAGTATCATTAACCCTGGTCTGGAGTATCATTAACCCTGGTCTGGAGTATCATTAACCCTGGTCTGGAGTATCATTAACCCTGGTCTGGAGTATCATTAACCCTGGTTGGAGTATCATTAACCCTGGTCGGGAGTATCATTAACCCTGGTCTGGAGTATCATTAACCCTGGTCTGGAGTATCATTAACCCTGGTCTGGAGTATCATTAACCCTGGTCTGGAGTATCATTAACCCTGGTCTGGAGTATCATTAACCCTGGTCGGGAGTATCATTAACCCTGGTCTGGAGTATCATTAACCCTGGTCTGGAGTATCATTAACCCTGGTCTGGAGTATCATTAACCCTGGTCGGGAGTATCATTAACCCGGTTGGATCATACCTGTCGGAGTATCATTAACCCTGGTCTGGAGTATCATTAACCCTGGTCTGGAGTATCATTAACCCTGGTCGGAGTATCATTAACCCTGGTCTGGAGTATCATTAACCCTGGTCGGGAGTATCATTAACCCTGGTCGGGAGTATCATTAACCCTGGTCGGGAGTATCATTAACCCTGGTCTGGAGTATCATTAACCTTGGTCTGGAGTATCATTAACCCTGGTCGGGAGTATCATTAACCCTGGTCTGGAGTATCATTAACCCTGGTCGGGAGTATCATTAACCCTGGTCTGGAGTATCATTAACCCTGGTCTGGAGTATCATTAACCCTGGTCTGGAGTATCATTAACCCTGGTCTGGAGTATCATTAACCCTGGTCGGGAGTATCATTAACCCTGGTCTGGGAGTATCATTAACCCTGGTCGGAGTATCATTAACCCTGGTCTGGAGTATCATAACCCTGGTCTGGAGTATCATTAACCCTGGGTCGGGAGTTAACATTAAACCCTGGTGAGGAGTATAATAACCCTGGTTCGGGAGTATCATTAACCCGTGTCTGGAGTATCATTAACACTGGGTCCGGGAGTATCATTAACCTGAGTCGGGAGTCTAAGAACCCTGGTCTGGAGTAATCATTAACACTGGTGGGAGTTAGCATTAACCCCGGTCTGAGTATAATTAACATGGTGGGAGTTATCATTCACGTAACCCTGGTCGGAGTATCATGAACCCCTGGCTGGAGATCATTAACCCTGGTCGGGAGTATCATTACCTGGTCGGGAGTATCATTAACCCTGGTCTGGGTATATTAACCCTGGTTTTTTTTCTGGATATCATAAACCTGGTCTGGAGTATACATTAAAACACTGGTATGAGTATCATAACCCTGGTCTGGAGTATATTACACTGGTCTGGAGGATCATGAACCCTGGTGGGAAGTATCATTAACCCTGGTCTGGAGTATCCTTAACCCTGGTCTGGGTATCATTATACCTGGTCTGGAGATCATTAAACCATGTCTGGAGTATCCTTTAACCCTGGTCTGGAGTATCATTAAACCCTGGTCTGGACGTATCATTAACCCGGGTTGGAATATCATTAACACTGGTCGGGAGTATCATTAACCCTGGTGGGGAAAAAAGTATCATTAACCCTGGTCTGGAGTTATCATTAACCCCTGGCTGGAGTATCATAAACCCTGGTTTCTGGAGTATCAGCTACCCCTGGTCTGGAGTATCATTAAACATGTCTGGAGTATATCCTAACCCTGTCTGGAGTATCATTAACCCTGGTTGGAGTATCATAACCCTGGTCTGGGTATCATACCCTGGTCTGGAGTTCATTAACACTGGTCTGGAGTAGTATACATAACCCTGGTCTGGAGCTAGCAGTAACCACTGGTCTGGAGTATCCATTAAACATGTCGGAGTATCATTCACCCTGTCGGGAGTATCATTAACCTGGTTCGGAGTATATAACACTGGTCTGGAGTATTCATGACCCTGGTCTGGCAGTATCATTAAACCCTGGGTCTGGAGTATCCTAACCAGGGTCTGCGTATCATTTAAACTGGTCTGGAGTATCATTACCTGGTCTGGGGTATCATTAAACACTGTTCGGGAGTATTCATTAACACTGGTATGGGATATCATGAACCCTGGTCTGGAGTATCATTGAACCCTGGTTGGGTTAGTGATAATTAAATTGGTCGGGAGTATCATAACCTGTATGGCGTATCATTAACCTGGGTCTGGAGTACATTAACATGGTCTGGAGTATCATTAACCCTGGTTGGGAGTATCATAACCCTGGTCTGGAGTATCATTAACCTGGGCGGGAGTAGCTTAACACCTGGTCGGAGTGCATTAAACTGGTCGGGCGATCATTAAACCTGGTCTGGAGGATCTTAACAACGGTCGGGGAGTATCATAACCATGGTCTGGAGTCTCATAAACCTGGTCTGGAGTATCAGTACCCTGGTCTGGAGTCATTAACACTGGTCGGGAGTATCTAACCCTGGGTCTGGAGTACATTACCCTGGTCTGGAGTATCATTCCCCATGGTCTGGAGTTTCATAACCCTGGTCGGGACGTATTCATAACCCGGTCTGGGTATCATTAACCTGGTCTGAGTATCATTAACCCTGTCTGGCTGGAGTATCATTAACCCTGGTCTGGAGTATCCTAACCCTGCGCGGAATATCATTAACACTGGTCGGGAGTATCATTCACCATTGTAGGAAGTTCATGAACCTGGTTCTGGAGTATCTCTTAACCTGGTCTGGAGTATCATGAAGCCCCTGGTTGGAGGTATCATTAACCGGTCGGGCGTATCATTAAACCCTGGTCGGGAGATAATCAAAACTTTAACCCTGACGGGAGTATCATTAACCTTTGTCGGGAGTATAATTAACTGGTCGGAGTATCATTAACCTGGTCTGGAGTATCATTAACCTGGTCGGAGTATCATTAAACTGAGTCTGGAGTATCAACTAAAGGGTATGAAGGCTCATTAACCTGGTCGGGATCAGTAACCTGGTCGGGAAGATTCAGTAACCTGGGTCTGGCGTTATCTTAAACCATGGTATGGAGTATCATTAAACCCTGGTCGGGAGGATATTAACACTGTTCTGGAGTATCATTAACACTGAGTCGGGAGTATCATAACCCGGTCTGGTATCATTTAACCCTGGTCAGGGCGCACCTCCCTCTTGTTCCCCTCGTTTCCCGACGTCCAGCCCCATCCTTTCTCGGCCTTTTTGTTAGTGAAGTATATTAACCCTGTTTCTGGAGGATCATTGAACCATGGTCTGGTGGGATCATAAACACTGGTCTGGAGTATCATTAACCCTGGTTGGGTATGTGTATGGGCTGTAGGTGTTTAGGTTGGGGCTGGAGGTGCGTAGGTTGGGTATGTAGTCTGGGTATGGTTTCTGGAGGTGTGTATGG